ACGTATATAAAATAATACCATAAGCAGGGAATTAGCCACCTCACTTGCTCCTCAAAAAATGGATATTGTAAAGAAACTTATTAACCAGATTGGGAAAAAGGAACTGGCATATCACAAATTCCTTGAACCATGAGATTATCTGAAAATTCTAATGAGAATACAAAGAACTAAAGTGCAATGTCTTCTCTTGAAAGTCATGGTAAGAATGTAGGCCAAAATATAAAGTTACATCTCGAAAAAAGGTCTTTTAAAAAGTTATTTCCTTTTCCTAAAGTCTTTTTTCCTTCTGAAAACACTCTGGCGGTTTTCTTAGCCATTGAGAAATTCAGAAAATGGGCTGTTCTGAAATAATTAATGGGATTTTTTTCTCCCATTAACATTTCATCCTTATCAAACTCCATGTCCAGCTTGTGGGTGAATCTAGATTCTACTTCTCTCTCATTTCCTACTTCTGATCGTACTTCCAGAGAGTAGTCATAGAAACAGAAGGATTTGGCACGTAAGTCGGCAACCTAAATCTGTGCCTCTACCACCGGTAAACTGCCAGATGGAAGAGGAGATTACAAAATTTAGATAGAATCACACTTTGGGATTATCTGAGGATGCCAATTATCCATTCTCCCCAATTGCAATGATAACCAAGGGTTATCTTAAAGAAAAATGAATAACTTGTGTTTTCTGAAGAAAATGGATAATCATGATTTTTCATAGACTATGACTCTCATCACTTTAATAATTAAATCCGATCATATTTATCAATAGCATATTAGAAACAGCAGCATGAGTTAATTCTATTTAAGTCATAGCAAATGAGTTGACTAAAAGCCATTAGTAACTTAAAGAAAAAAATTTAATCACACCGATGAGAGGATCACACTGAACTGTCCTCTTAGATGACCTCCATTGCAAGTCATCAATAACCAAAATTACTAAGTCCTCATCACCTCTGTCACTAGACCTCGCCACCCATCCAAGATAACACAAAATGAGTGAGAAATGTATGGAATGAATGAGGACATCCAAGCTACTATGAAAACACGATGCTGTCAACATTGATAAATGGGACCTTTTGAGGATGGGCCAACTTCCAGATCAACTTGGGCTATCGCTGCCCTGGAGACAGGGAGCGTCAACTGTCAATCAGAACTCCACAGCCTCAACAGCAGAACTAAAGATCAGGTGGGGAGAGGGTAGCGGAATTTCCCCAGGAGAAAGGGGAAAACTGTTCAAGGCACCACAGTATAGGAAGCCAAGGAGCTCACTGGGATTATGGAAACACTGAGCAACGCTGCACTGGAGACTGCTTCTATTAAACTTATTCACTAACTGCTGATCAATATTATGAAACTTTTATTTACAGGACATGGTCAAACATTTTTCAGAGATGGGTGGTTTAAAGCTATCATAGGCAATTGTGTAAATAGATAAGGATTATGGTTGACGATGGGATAATTAGTGATACACACTCCAAAAGTACTTTGGGACTCAGAAGAAATCACTTAAGAGTAACTGCTCTAGTACCTGGAACTTTCTGTTCAGCACATGATGAGGAAGAAATGATACACATATGAAATGAAAGATGAGTATTTCACATAAAGTCTCATGAAACAGAAAAACCACAAGGCGGTGGTTACTTCATAAATCCTAGTGTTTGGCTGTGCACAACACTGATTTGAGTAGAAACTTACCCACAAGTCACTTCTTTGGATCTACTCCCAAAGGTCTACATTCTGAAGTTAAGAGCTAGCCTGGGCTTTAGCTGGGGGACACTGATTCTGAGACTGATTCAGCTAGTACCCATGAGTCTTTGGATGTACACTCACCCAATTCTTTCTCTTCTTTTTCTTTGAATCACTCTCTATGTTGCTCCCCACGCTGGAGTGGCTGGTGGCACTGTTGATGCTGGAGACGCTGTCAGAGGAGTGCTGTCTGCGGATGCGGAGATCTGCAGACTGGGAGGTACCATTTCCTGGGGACCAAGGTGGGATATCAGCAGCTGCTGCCTTGAGCCCATTCCTTTGTCCCAAAATGACCTCTACACCTAAATCCACAAACCCAAGGACTACTAGGTGTCTCCCTGCAGACATCACCCTTAGTTCCCCAGTGCTGGTTTTAAGGTCCTTGAGCAGGTGGGTGCCATACCCTGTTTTGTCAACTAAATGAGGGTTCTCTCAATCTCTCTCTCTCTCTCACCACTTTACATAACAGAAGTCAGGGGAGGCTTAGAGAGAATTTCCCCCACACCAGCTCTCTTAAGCTTTAGGTAGACGTTAAAATGTGTTTTTGAATTGCACAAGTTACCTATGTTTTTAGTGCCTCTCTCCTCTGCTCGCCTCCTGCTACAGGAGCCTTCTTTCATCCCCTTGGAAACGCCAAGCCTTACAAGTGCTACTCCCTCTTCCTGGAATGCTCTTTTCCCTCCACTCTGCCTGACCAGCTCTTGATAATCCTTCTCATGTCAACTCTATCATCCCTTTTGCAGGAGACCTCATATCTGAAGTAAGCGCGGTATCAGAAATTACACCACCAGAAATGGCAGTGATTCCAAAATAAAGTTTGCAGACAGGTTTCCTTATGAGCACAGAACTACACCATAGTTGAACAGCACCGGCTTCAGAGTCAGACAGACTTGGGTTCTAGTCCCACTTCTGCTTTTCACAGCTCTGTGACCGCAGGAAGTGACTGTCACTTCTGCAACTCAGTGTTCCCATCAGTACAATGCGTAGAGGACTAGTATTGCACTCATAAGGCTTTGCGGAAAGAAAATGAAATAATTCAATCATTAAAACACTGAGCACAGTGCTTAGAACACAGTGAGTGGTCTATAAATGTTAGCTATCACTATGACTTTTATTATTTTATTTTATTTTTTAAATATTTTACTGGGAAATTGGGGGAGGGGAACAGCGTTGGGGAATCGGGGAAGGGGAACAGACAAGTTGCTGTCCTTTTGTTCTTCAGTCTAGTTGTGGAGGACGTCGCTTCACTGGCCCATGTTGGTATTATCATTGTGCTCTTCCCGGGCGAGGCAGTCACTCGCCAGCCATTGGACGGCTGCTCATGGCAGCCCAGCTCAAGGTCGAGCTGTTGTTCACCATCTTATCTGTAGAAGGCGCAGCGTCACTGGCCCTCATGTGGGATCTGAACCGGAGCCCTGCTGCTCAGAGCTGGCATCCTAAGCCAACTCCTAATCAGTGTGCCACTCGGCCGGCCCTGTGACTTCTATTATTACTGGTAATATAATTATTGCAGGAGGTAACATCCTCACGCCGCTGCTCCCCCACCCCCGCCAAGTAAGAGACACAAGGACAAAGCAACTTACTCAGAAATATTTTCCTGGACAAATAAGAGATGAACCCATTTCAGGCTGTCCCACATCAATAAGTAACTATCAAAGCATTAGTGAAGTTAAGGGCTCTGAAATACTTGGACACTTTGCCAATAGAAATATATTTCCTTCCATTTTTGAGATGCATCAGAGAAGAGGATGAGACGGAATGCTATCTTCCTAGAGGCCAGAAGTAACTGGACGAAGCATTTGCCTTCCAGGACCTGTCTGAACGACATGGAGCCCCACTCTCCGGCAGGGAGGTTGCATCATTCATTGCTAGGGGACGGCTCCTAAGGGCAGGCAGGGAGTCAGTGTGAAGGCTGTTTCTCTTCCTTTACCTTTGCAGTTGAGCTCCGGTGTGTTGATTACTCCATTAATAGCAGCCTGGGCAGCTGCGTTCTGTTTCTTTAGCAACTCAATGGTTTTCCTTAGCTCATTCAGTTCCGAGTCCTGGGGAACAACAACAAAATACTGGTGATTTAAAAAAAGTTCTGTTCAGAGTTCAACTGAAGTGCAACTTAACTTCAACAGGAGAGGGTAGGGAATAAAGGAGCTCCACAAAGCCTTTGTCTCAAACACGAAGTTGGGTCACTTTTTAATGGAGATTCATGAGCACATGAAAACATCAGGAACTCTGTCACTGATGCAGTTACTACATCTCCACGTAGGTGGCATTTTCACCTCAACAGACCTGCTCTTTGCGATTCAATTCCAATAGCTAAAGAAATATACTAAAATCTATACAATTTTCTGGAGTGAAAGAGAATGCTATTTTAGGTTGTTAACTCTGAGCGGGGTGGAAAAAGGCATCTTTTTGCTTTACCTTTTGCTCAGCCGTCATGGTCAAACTCTGGAGCCTGATTGTCATGTTTCCAAGGCTCTGTTCAAACGCTGCGACGAGGTGAGCCTGCAAGGGGACAGACACAGCCTCAGTTACATTACCTGGTAAGGTAAGAGTGCCTAAAGGGTGCTGGGTCTTAAAGACTGAAATCCTCACAGGGCCACATGAATTAGCCACTGTCTAATTCTTTAGCCTCTTGAGCACCACTGCCCAGCACTCTTTGAGATCCAGTTACTATAACTTTTCATGTCCTTAAACACCCCGTGCTTCTTCCTACCTAGGGCTTTTATACATGGTTTCCTCTCTGCCTGGACCACTCTTTCCCCACTTGCCTCTGTGTCTGATTTTTGCATAACCTTCTCAAGAGCTCTCAGCTCATGCCTTCAATCACACCTCCGGCCTGGGTTGGTTCCATCATATTTCCTCTAGAAAGCACACTGGACTGCTGCTACGTGCCTTGTGGCATCACAGTAAAAAATACATGTACTCTTGTGATTGCTGATTCACGCCTGTCTCTACTACACATCAGGACGACCTTTTGTTCATAAAACATCAAGCTCATGGTAGAGGCTCATATTGAGCATGTTTGCAGAATGAATGAACAAAGTGGTTGGCGTATTTTGCTTATTCTAATCCTAGTTAATAAAAAGCCACTGAAAGAACCACCTGCTACCTCCTTAGAGAACTCCTCCCCTGCTCCCCCAGGGAGTTATGACTTTTCCCTGAGCTCCTCTGCACTTTTATATACCTCTGTTAGAACACAGCATCAAATGCACCATTATTTTCTATATTACTAAGACATTTTCTTAAATGCTGCCAATTATAACTAAAATATGCATCCAATATTCAAAGGTGTTAAAATGTATATCTTAGAATTGAGAAATGTGCCTCTTAGAATTGAGAATAGACGTTTTTTAAAATGCTGCCAATTATCACTAAAATATGCATCCAATTCTCAAAGGTGTTAAAATGCATATCTTAGAATTGAGACACATGACGTTTTCCTGCCTGCCCCCTTTCTCTGCAACCCTCTTCAAGGGCAAGATGCAACTTAGTGTTCCAACATTAAGCCTTCTTTCTTCTTCCACAGAATGGTAGGAGACATATTGCTTGGTGGACTGAGGATCTTGGTAACATTGTTAAAACCAAGAATAAAGAATGGACGAGTCATCTAATCCTATCGGCCTCCATTTCTTCATCTATAAAATGGAAGCCATAGCTATTTTCCTCCCAGGGTTCTTGGGAGCATTCAATGAAACTGTACACATGAAAATGGCCTATAAACTGTTAAGGGATTACGAACAGGAATGAATGGACACTGTGGGGGAAAGGAAGCAGTATGGGAATGAGAAAGTGACAAAAGGTACTATGAGAACACGAGAGTAGGGAGATCAAGAAAGGGTTTTAGGAGAGGGGTGGGTAGATACATAGAGGGCTACAGGAGGAATGAGAGGGACAAGCAGGATACTTGAGAGTCTTGGGAGAAGTAAGATGTGATCATGCTGGAAAATCCTAGAGGGAAAGGTGGCTGATGCACATAGTGAAGAATAAAATCTGGAAAACAACTGGGTGGGGGAGGAGCCATTGGTCTGGGCTGTGAGGAGGGTCAGTGGACACTGCAACTGAAGGAGGAGAGATCTGAGGAGTGAGTCAGGCCTCTGTCGCTAGACATCATCAAACAGGGCCAGTTGAGGGTAAGACATCTCTAGGGTCAACTGTTGAGTCTTTTTTCCAACAGCCGTAGGAGCTGGCAGGGAGCAGGACCATTTGTAACAGAAATGTTAAGCGGACTAGCCCATTTCTTGCTGCTCGCTCTCTCGCTCTCTCTCTCTCTCTCTCAAAATTGAGAAAATGCCTTAGCATTTTAAAATAGATCTGCCCTGGAGAATGTGGCAAAACCAAAGCCAATTTAATTCAAGATGGTCACACAGGGGATGAAGGAATCGGGCCAGGACATGGATGTAGAAAAGGATGACTGCTAGCCTTGCATTTCAAAGGAATGACAAGGTCAAATTTAAATGATTGAATTACGATGTATTTCAATTCTTTGTTTGATTGCCGCCATTGATTGTCTTTGTGGGTATTCATATCTTCTATTCAATTAATAACAAAAACAAAAACCTGACCCCACGAAGCCTGCTAGTGAGAAAGTGTTTTTGCAAGCTCAAGGAGAAACCGCGTTTGCTCCGAAGAACCAAGGATCGCATTTAGCTGCAGAGTGAGAGGACTGACTTTTGTGTCTTGAGTTCAACTATGAAAATAATGGTCTGAGGCCGGTGCGAGCCTGGTTCGGAGCCACACAACAGCCCTCTCATCAAGCACCATTCTCACATTCCCAGGGAAAACAAACACGAGTGGTATAAAAACACCCAGAGAAGGTGGCTTTGAGTAGTTTGTCCTAGAAAAACAAACACAGCTTGGCCTGTGGGAAACATGGCAGACAATAAAACGCGTTAGCATTGCTGGTGGTGTGGGGTAAGACTAAATATTTACTTTAAAACAATACTGGATTTAATGGCTTCTGTGAGGAGCAAAACACACTTTAGAGTAATAGTAACGCGAGGAAATGTCACTCTGACTCTTTTGACAGACGGCAGGGTTCCACATGGCCCAGGGTAAGGTCCTGTGGAGTACAAGGTCATCGGAAGAACGAATCCAAGTTCGTTGTAAGTTAATCACTATTTTTTCTTAGGAAGGGACAACTGACAGGTGTAATTCTTAGCTAGGGGAGTAGCTCCGAATCACTTAGGAGGGGGTTGCTGTCAAACCTCACATGTTTGGATTATACGCAGGAGATCCTTGCTTATTGGGTCTGGGGTTGGTTCTGGATTCAAATGGTTCCCCAGAAAAAGGTCCACCCACAGAATACCTCTGCTGTTTTTCTGAATAGAATCTAAGCTTCAAAATTCAGATCTCCCATCTATTTCTGGTGTCCTTTTAATGTCAGTACTGATTGCTTAAGAGGTAAAGAAAATAAATAAGGATTACACCATAAACAGTGGCCTCAGATGTTAGGGTTTTGAAAAAATTATGAGATTTCCAGAAATGTGAGAGAACTCAGGAGAATGAACCCTAGTGAGAACAGTCGCCGATCACTGAGCTCGTAACCGGGGCCAAGCACTGCGCTAGGCGCTTCCTTGAGTCGACTCAGGCTCAAGCCAGGAATTGCCTGGGCAAAAACTCCAGGTAAATGTTATTTTGGAATTCACTCAGCTTCCTAGTCCAAGGAAAATGACATTGTGAAGTTGCTTTTCATTTTAACAGCATGCTATGGGGTCACACAGGTTGCTTCTGGTACGCTTGCACACATGCCTTTGTGGTCTCAGGCTGGGCTGTGCACGCCTCGGCAAGAAAGCCTTGTCTCAGGGACATCTCGGCACCTTCCAAACCTCAGGCTCTGCCTTCAGAGCGTCAGCCCTGCAGCAGGACCCCTGCACAGACTGGTCTGATGGGGTAGGGGATTTCTGCCTCTACTCTGTGCCCTCTACTCCTATAACCTCACCACAGTCAGAAAGCTTTCTATGAGCAAATCTGACCACTTCGCTGCTCTGCTTAAAACACAGCTGGGGCTCCACTAACTTCAGGAGGGAGCCCAAGCTCTCCACCTAACAGCTGAGAGCTTCTGTGATGTGTCCTGACCCTCACATTTCTTTGATGCCTCCTTCCTTCCCACTTCTTTCTCCCTTCCACCCTCCTCTTCCCCACATCCAAGCCATTGATTCTAATTAAAATGAGCTACTTATCGTTTCCAAATGCACCAAGATTTTTCACCTGTGGCTTTTGCACAAATTATTCTTTTTGGTTGGAATGCTGTCCTCCCCATGCATCCTCCCGTACACAGTGTCCACCAGGTGCCACCTCCTTCAGGAAGCCTCCCCCGACCCCACCGAGACTGAATTAGGTACTCCTCCCATATATCCCCACGACCTTCTCCCTTTATCTCTATCCTAACAGTTACGATGTTATAGCAAAATGGTTTTGTCTCTCTGCTGTACCAGAGAAAGAACACAAAGATGTAAGTGACTCTGCTTGATTTGCTCTTGAACCCAAAGTGCCTGGGGCATAGTTTTCATATAAACAGTTGCTGAATTGAATGCCGGTTGGCAGTGTCTCCTGAACACGTAATTGTGTATATTATAATTACAGAGTAGTCAGCTATTTATCGTGGAGCCTTAGATTTATTTTTCCCCCCTTAGATGAAAATTTTCAGGAATAGGAAGGGAAGGAAATGAACATGTTTGAGTCCTTACTATATTCCAGACACTGATCACTTGACAACCCTGAAGGGTATGCTCCTTGCCTATTGCACAGATGAGCAGATACAAGCTCAGAGGTTATAGAACTGGCCCAAAGCACGGAGCCTGTAAGTGTCAGAGCTGACATTCATGCCCATGATGATAAAGCCTGTGTCCTATTTATTACACTGCTGCTTCCATGGTGCTCAGAGGCAGGAGGCCTGTGGGTAATTAATGCTCAGAAGGTAGCAGCGGCTGCCTCCCCTCCGGATGGCTAACGCCCTGTGGTTGTACTCACATTTGCTGTCAGCTGGGTGGTCAAAGCTGAAACCTTTTCCTGGGAGGCATCCAGCTCCCGCCGCAGTTTGCGAATCTATGGATGACAAGGGAGAGTTACTTGCTTTGCGCGTCTATTTTCAAGTTGAGCTGGCTAACATAACTGATGATAGTGAAAGAGGAAACCCAACCAGCAGACTGTCCCTTACCTCTGACTGGCATTTTTCTTCAGGCTGTAAAGAAAACACAGGGGAATTAGAGTACTTGAGGAACAAAAAACCATGTAGTCCAGCCCACAGGGAACACAGTATTTGGAAACTTACAACAGGCTGGAAAATTCATTAGTCTCTTTCCTGGTGTATTTTTCTGGGTAAACTGGTTCAATCAATTTGATAATCAGAAAGGCCAAACAGAAACAGCATATTATATTATGAAGTTGGGAAGAATTGAGAACAATACTCCAGTTGACTTTGGTTGTGAGGAGCCCCCTTCGCCCGTGTATGTTCATAGGGTCAGGGGTTCAGGAGAGGGTGTGATGAGGGGATAAGCTAGGGCAGGCTGGCCAGATTTAGCTAATAAAAATACAGGTTACTCAGTACAATTAGAATTTTTTTTAGTTAAAGTATGTCCCATGGAATATTGGGGACATACTTATACTAAAAAATGGTTGTTCATCTGAATTTCAAATTTAACTGGGTGTTTAACTAGGTGGCAACCCTACCTGAGGGCAGGGAGAACTGCTCATAGGTTAATTCTGCCCAATTTTGTCCTCCCTCTCTTCTGTCTATGGCACTATAGCAGGAGCAGCAGAGCAAGAAGGTTCCCAAGGTGAGGGGTGCTGGAAGCCCCTATCAGTCAGTGTGGTAACATCCCAGATTAAAAGGATAAATGTGACCTTCACCTTCCTGCTGCCCCAGCTCAAGTCTCCCAGTTACCTGTGAGGCCTGTGGGCCCTCTTACTGGCAGAACCTTCCATGCCGGGTCCCATGTCCATGGTGACACAGCTATCTGCCAGTGGGAGGCAGCATGACTACCTTTCTCCTCCCATAGGGGGAACCCACATAGGTTGAGGGAACCTGCTGCAAGGGGAACATTTCTTTCCCTCTCCTCAGGTTCCCAAGGGGGACCATAAAAGAAGATCTCCCTACCCCTTTCTGGAAATGTTGAAGTATTCTTGCCCTACTCTCTATCCTATCATTCACGCTTCCCCAGGGTGCAGCAGTAACTTGGAAGCCAGGTAGATGAGTGAAAATCTATAAGGACCCTATTTTGTCCTTGGGTCCTCCAAGTGTCCTAACCCAATTTTACTAGTGGTAAACCCATTATTTTTTTATGGGTAGCATCTGACTCTGGTGTCTACTTCTCTACTCAGAATGCAAAGGGGTAGGATTATGTAGACTCCGAAGACTCCACACCTGTCAGCTGGGGCAGGTTCCTGTCTGATCTCCCTTCACTCTCTGCTCCCCACTATCCTCAGTCCTGATCCTGCCCAAGAGCCCCCTCTCTCCAGGCTGGCTCCTAACGATAGCAACTAATTTTTAGGTATACCTAGGCCAAATCATTTAATCCTTACAGTAACTCCATAAATTAGGTTTGTTTGTATTCCTTTTGAGGCTTAGAGAGGTTCGGTATCGTGCCTAAGTCACACAGCTGGACAATCTCCTGATTTAAGAAACACTTTCAAGAGACGGTTTGGAGATGTCCTCAAGGCCCACTCTCTCCTCCCAGATAATATTCATCCACCCCTCTTTCTCTGTCTGTCCATCTATCCATTCACCCCCACCTCTGCCACCACCTATCAAATATTTATTGATTTCTTATATGTGCAAGGCACTGTTTAACAATCTGGATTACAGCTGTGAACATGGCCAAGTCCCTCCATCTCATGTTACTTACATTCTGGTTAATCATAACTAGCATTTATTGAATAGTGCCACACGCCAGCAATTGCTCCAAGTACTTTATATTCATTAGTCATTTAATCCACAGAACAACCCTTTGAGTAGGTGCTAATACTGTCACTTTCTGTTTTGCAGATGAGGAAAATGAGGCACAGAGAGGTTAAGTAATTTACCCATGGTCACAGCTGGTAAGTGGAGCTGGGATCGAATCCAAGGTACTCTGGCTCCAGAGCCTATGATCTTAACCAGAACATTCTCCTGCTCTTTTAGTATAGCTATTCTCATGGAGGCTTTCCAGAAACAAGGCCCCATACTCTGAGTCTGATCCAAAGGGGAAAAGTTAATGGTGAGACTGTCAGTGTTATCCAACATTTTGGTAGATAACATTTCGATGGAGGCCGGATAGCAGGCTGAACCATCCATATAGGACCAGTCCTACTTCTAACCATTTCTATCAACAGGCCTAACACTCCTTCCCATGTCTCCGCCACCGTCGGTCACTGTTCCCACCTGTCTATGTGTTGGGCCCCTGTTCTCAACAGCAACCTGGAGAAATCATGTGTTTTGCACCTTGCCCCAGCTGCTGCTGCTCTTCTGTACATCTGGGAACTGTAGAGGCCTCCCTCCATTTAGCAGTTTTCCTGGGAACTCAACTGCTGCTCCCTAACCAACCAAGGAAGCAAGTCTGATGCCAGATGTGGCCTCTTAGGTTTCCTCTGCTCCATGGGTTGGCCATGACTTCTCCACAACAGTTGTTTAGCATCATGTTGCCTTTGCAATTAAAATTACAGGCACATTTCAGGCTGAACGAGCATTCTTGAATATCCAAGAATTACAGAGATTTCAGGGAAAAAACCCTATTATCATCCAATAATAGCCTATAAAACACTCAGCTATTAAACAGACTCTTTGGTCTGGGTTGGTGACAACTTCAGAGACTCCAAAGATCTCTTTGTAGACAACAAATAAGAGCTTGTTCACCTTAACATTTACAAAGGCGCCTGAGCATTTGTTTCAGAATTTCATCATCGCCAAGTGGCTAATAATAGATGAGGGACCACACAGCAGTATTTGCTGGTAGCAGAGTCTAGCCAGATCTGCAGTTTTCCTTGGAATTAGCAGACTAGTCATTCAAATGTTAGGCTATTTTTTTTTTAAGTCTGTAAAAGTAACCTATATTCTCAGAGAAGGCCAATGCAAGAGACAGTAAATAGGAACGTCTGACTCCATGACTGGTGGAATGTCAAAGGTTGTGGGGACGTCAGAGACTGACCACCTCGCCTAGCTCCGACACCAGGAGCAAAACTGAGAGAAACCTAGAATGATGGGGTGATTGGTCCCAAGTGAAACAGTGAGAAAAAACTAAGATGAGACCTCAGGTCTCTTGCTAGGCAGATGAATTAAAAACTATTAATAGGTCTTTGGTGATTTGTGCATTTATATCAACTCAGAAAGGGCAATTTCTAATTTCATGAAAACATCAGCTTCATGTCTACACACCCAGAACAAGTACCACTGGAAGAGTGGCTTCTGCCGGCAAGGACTTCCAGTGGTTGGCGTGCGGGGGTGTGGCTGGACATTGCAAGCGCCGGTTTCCTCCATGTGAATTTGCAAGGTGGAGAAGCGCATGCTCTTGCCCTCCAACGCTGGCTGATACAGGCCAGCCCCCCAGTTTTCAGTCTTCTGAGAAGGGCCCACCCCTCTGTGCTGACAGGACATCCCGGGAACTCCACTGAGAAAACAAGGGGCTTGGGCATTGAAATGTCTGCTATGGCTGCTCTGCACCAACCCTGGGAAATGACAGTCCCAAGGCCTATGTTCCTCAGTGCCCTCTGATGCCTCCGGCTTCCTCTTTCAGCAGCAGGCTTCTCTCTCACTTAAACCATATCCCCGGGGCTTCGTCCAGAGCCTGGCATATACTGAATGCCAGTAAATACTGTTGAAGAAGTGAATCTAGGTTTGAAAGGACCATCTCTGATACACATATCAGTGTTTCATTGTAGAAAAAGACTTAGTGTGTGCACTAGCTGACAGAAGGCCATTTCTATGCTTTCCTAGGAGATAACAGCTTAAACAACCCCTCCCCAAGGTTACTATACATAAAGCCTTTAAAATGAAAGCCAGGATGCTGTGATGAAATTTTAGACAAGATGACTGGCTGGGGAAAGAGGTACTTTGGAGATAGAGGGATGAGGTAGGTTGGAGCAGAAGAGAGTGTTTATAGGTCCTTCATATCAGACCATGTCAACAATCACTTAAGTCCTTCTTGCTATAGTTCTTAAAAAGAACAGTCAGGCAGTGGTCTCTGTAATTTGATTCTGGGATGGCCTTTTTCTTACAAGGGACTATATGTAGTTTGTCCTGCGATATAGCTCAGAAACCTGGCAATATCAAAAACTGAATTATTAAAACACTTGTCCTCTATGGAATTAAGAGCTATAGAATTTCTAATTCTCAATTAACAAAATATTTCTTTTCCTATAGGCATCCCAAATAGTTATGCACATAACCATAAAAAGCTAATAAGTACCACTGAAAAAAATCCAATGCCATATTTGATTACATCTGGCTTTCATTCAGTAAAACTCTCATTGATGATAGCAAACATTTATGAGCGCTTACTCTGCGCTATGTGCACTGTATTCATTACTTTACATGTATTTTCTTATTTTATGCAAACCTATTTTTTGAACACTTATTAGGCATTAGGAATAAAAACAGAAAAAATCCTTATGCTCAAGGAATTTATATTGTAGTGAAATGTAACTTGCATAACATTTAATCCTCATTACAATCCCACAAAGTAGGGACGGTTATGTTTTCTACTTTACAATTAAAGAAACTGAGGCAGACCGAAGATTAATAAGTTGTTCAAGGCCTTTTATTTTTAGATTCTGCCAGCAGGTGGTCAAGGCTTCTCACATGTTCTGTCTAGTTACCACCTAACAAAGCAGCCCGTTCCCAATTTATTGGTTGGTACATTATAATCAATAGCTGTTTGTGAACTTCAAATATTGTTCCCTAATTAATCCCTTTATAATGAGAATACTCTCTCTAGGAAAAATGCTTATATTTTATTCTTGACATATTTGATAAAGGAACCCCAACTCATATGATCATAGCTACACAGCATTGATTTATACTTACTGTAGAATAAATTGATGACGTGCTGGAAACCAAGGAGAGCGAGGATCCATGAACTATTAAAAAAAAAAAAAGTGAATTGCACAGCTGGCTCCTGTGGAGCTAAAAAGGGGGAGAGGAGAGGAGAAACTCAGCATTATAGGCAACTACCAAACTCAGAGCAACTTAATCTCACTCTGGCCCAATCTTTCCTGGTTTGGCCATAGGTCAGCGTCAAATAAGGAATAATTTGTTAAGGGAGTTCGAGCACCTTTTTATTGCCACATTTTCCCTTAAAACCTTCTAAATATGATTTTTTCCTATAAAATAATACATGATTATTGAGTGAAAATTTTCAAGGACAGAGAAGTGTTAAAAAGCTTATTCACAGCCATAACTTGTGTAATTCCATTACCCAGTGGCAGCCTGTTACAGTTCCAGCATATTTTATTGTTCTTTTTAAATGTACTATTCTTTTAGGGTTGAGATTGTGTTGTATATATATTTTATGCCCTATTAGCACCTGTCACTTGTATATGCAAAGGGGTGAGCTGATTATTTTGAACATAGGAAGCTGTTGGCCATAGTAAATTCATTCTGGATGAATGAACATTTGTTTATAAACATTTGTTTTGAAAACATATCCATTGAGATATAGATTCAATTTCCATCATACCTACAAAGTGACAAGCAAGAGGTGGTGTTTTTTTCTGTGTCTGATTGGTACTTTTTGATTTAGAACCATCCTTGTACTCTCTTCGCAATGATTCTCTGGCCCTCAGCCAAGGGGAGACATTTTATTATTTGTTTTCATGAAGTTTTAAAGCACAGTCTTTTCTAGGACAAGGTATTCTGACTGACTTCTCTGTTTGGGAACCAGATTCTTCAATGACATTTTCTTGGTAATCTCTCGACAACTTGTTTGACAGGAAGATGCCTGTGGAGACACTGCAGACCTTTAAACTGGGCACAGCTCTCCTGATTACGGATGGAACACCTCGGCTCCTTCACTGTGCCTTCTTCACCTGTGGCCTGAGAGTGGGAGACTCAGGACACACCTTCCACGTGCACTAAATGGCTTTCGTTTATCACCCAAGGAATGAACTTGGGTCAGCAGTCGGCAGAAGCCCCCTGCCCACAAGACATCTGAAGAACGGCTCACCCTACCACTCAGGTGCCCCCGCCCCCAGCTCCCATTCCCCCTTTATGTGTTCTTATCACTCTATGAGTCTTGCACTTTGCTCTCAAGCATGCCTGGAGAGTACTTTGTCTACTCAATCTCCGCCCGTGCAGTTCCCTTTGTTTGGGGTGCATCTCATTCTGTCTGCCCAAACCTCCAGGGAAAGCTCAACTGACATCTTCTCTATGGAGCCTTTCTTTATTTCCCTGACTGCCACCTGGATGGGCTTTCTCCCTCTGAACCCACATTGCTCCTGGCTTGCCCTGCCCTCTTGTCTCTCAGCAGGTTTCTGCGGCTCTGAGGCTGCCCCTGCACCATCACTCACATCCACCCTCCTCAGCGACGCCCAGAGCTCTGGATCTTTGCCTCCATTCTTCCTCCATTCATGACTCATCTGACTCATGCTCCATAAAAAATCAGTTTCAGGTGTTAACGGCCAATAAAGGCATTCAGTGTTAATGTGTCCACACATGTAACAGAGGCTTCTCACGTCCCAACCAAGTGACCTAATGTTCCAAAGGGATAACTTGCTTCAGCCCTATGACACAGATAGTAAGTCAGATTATACTGGAGGCCGAGTTGGGGTAAGATACGAGGGTAACATATGACCACCCTTTAATCAAACCTTTTGATCGTATTTCCATGCCAGACGCCTGCTCCAGAAACCTGCCCAGGGCTGCTGCATGGATCTATGGCTGCTGGAAATGCAAATTTTTTTCTCTTATATTTCTCCACTTTGCAGACTCACTGACAAACCGTCTTCAGCAATATCTCAGTTTAAGCTGGGGCCACAGGCAGAGAAGAGCACATCTGGCAGGGTTTGGGTGGAGAGACTTATTTTTCTCCGTAATTAACTCCTCTCACTTGGTAAATAGCAACAGCAAGGCTGTGGTCCAAAAAAAGATTCCTCGACTTCCAGAGTCAACCCCAGATTGAATGTGGCTTGCCTGAACCACTGCAGCTGGCCCTTCTTCAAGTGAACTGAGCCAAGGCAGGGCCTGGGTTACGTGGCTTGGATACTTTTGGACAACAAAATGCATACGAGAGTTATAAAGCCAAACAGCAAAAACAGGCCATGCATTTTCTCCCTATATGTATATACCACCAATGTTTTAAAATTACAAGGAACCACAGAGAACTTCTGGGCCACCTCTGCCATTGAGCAATCTGAAACCCCGAGAGATTAAATGACCTGCTCAAGGTCACACAACATTCGGGAACAGGATCTGCTGTCTAGAGGCTGCTTTGCCCCGACTTGGTTTACTGGTTTCTGGGTGGTTTATTTTGCTTCCTTTTTCTTTTTGTAAAGCTCTTTGGTATCTTTTAGAATTGCTCCCTAAGCCCCTCACTCAGTCTACAGATAGGCACAAGCCAGGACCAATGTTTGAGAAGAAAGGTGCGTTAGGTAGGGGTGAAGTCACTAAACAGGAAGAAACAACTGGGCATATTCCAGCCATCAAGTGCTCTGACATCACACTTGGGCATCTCATATGTATATATTCAGCTTCCTACTAGTCAAAGCACTTTTTCATTTATGCTATTGAAGTGATCCTCCTCATCACAGAAAATCTGTAGGTTAATATTCCCACACAGGGCAGGAGTTTCTACCCCCAATTAACAAAAGAGTAAATTAAGGCCCAGAGAGGCTAAGTCATGTGGCCAAGCACACACGGGTAGTCAGGAGCAGAGAAAGAAGTGAACGTAGCATCACACTCTAATTCTCACTCCCCCACTGGGTACTGCCGAAGCAGCCAGTGAGAATGAGATGCAGTTCTGAGGGCTAATGAACTGCCCCCTCAACCAACAAAGGAAGTATGTATAACTGAAAACAGAGAAGGATCACAGATGAAGGATCACAGTTCACCTCAGACAGGTAGGAAAGGACAGCTGTGGCCAAGGCAGAGCCAAATGTCAAGGTAGCATTGAGTAGAAAAACAGAGGGCTGAGAATCAAGAGTTTAGAATCTAGTCCTGGATACATAAAGTCCTCAAGTCACTTCTGTGGCCTCAAATTTGCCATAAACAAAAATGGGGATGAAATGGCTCTTGGGGAGAGGGATAAAATAAAACACACAATTATATAATAACAATAGCTACCATTGACTGAGTACTTGCTGTAAGGCCTTTTCAAAGTCATTCTGCTGACTGCTTCCCAGGATTTATCTCACCCAATCTTCACTTCAATACTTGAAGCAGGTACAATTATTTTCCACTTTTTTTTTTTTAAGATTTTGTTCAGGAATTGGGGAAGGGGAACAGTGTTGGGGAATTGGGGAAGGGGAACAGCGAAATTGTTGTCCTCCAATCTTAGCTGTGGAGGGCGCAGCTAGCTCAGCTCCAAGTTCAGTAGCCATCTGGCTGCCCGTTGGCAGCTCGCGGCCGCTCAGCTCAAGATACTGTGTTCAATCTTAGTTGTGGGTGGGTGTAGCCCATCACCCTGAGCGGGAGTCCAACCAGCAACCTTGTTGCTAAGGGCAGACACTCCATCCAGCCACCCATCGGCAGCTCAGCTCAAGGTGCTGTGTTCAGTCTTAGTTGAGGGTGGACGTAGCCCACCATCCCATGGGGGATTAAAACCAGCAATCGTGTTGTTAGGAGCACATGCTCTCACCAGCTGAGCCATCTTGCCACCTGTCAGCAGCTCAGCGGCAGCTCAGCTCAGGCGCACCTCACTGGCCCGTGTGGGAATTGAACCAGCGACCCTGTTGCTCAGAGCTCACACTCTTAAACAACTGAGCCACTTGGCCGGTCCCTATTTTCCACATTTTAGCGAATAGGAACTGAGCAGGGTCAAGTCCATTACCCAAAGTCTCACTGCTAACAGAGAAGGTGCCAGGATTTGAATTGCAACTATAACTCAGAGGCAAGAAACACTAGTGAGCTGCAATATAAGAATTCTTTATTAAAAACAGCTCTACTCCTGTGGATTCCATATGAACTGATTTAGGCTGCACGAGCTCTTAGGGATGATTAGGCAAGTCACTAGATTTTTTTTCTTCCCCCTCCAAAGACATCCATTTTAAAAATGCCTCAAGCATCTCCCTAAATGTTTGCTTTTCAAGTTGACTTTATGACTGCATAATGCAGCTGATGAAAATTAATTTACCTGAAATAACTGTGAAAAGTTGCAGGTGGGCCATGTCTGTATCTAATCTACATATTTATGATTCCTGCTTCCTTTAAAATGGAAGGTGCTAATTAAATCCCACAAAAACCTCACACAAGTATTTGTGCTAATTCTTCCTAAATTTCTATCCTGCTTTCTGGCATGTGATATACCTTGCTGACTCTTATAAGGGGATTCTGTTGTGCCCAAACATGAGATGACATGAGATGTGAATTTTTTCCAACTGTTTCTAAAACACTGTTTATAAATTCAGAAAGGAAAAAAAGTCTCTACCCAATGGAATTAAAAACACCTAATTGCACAAGTCCTATTTTATCTTTGTAAGGTAACAACACTGGAAGAAATAAAATCAATCTGGTGCCAAATTTCCCCAAAGACGAAAATGTTATGTGTTCATAGCATATTGACAATGGTCCCTACCCCTTCCCCCCAAATTTGATTTTTACCTCTGCGCTTCAGTCCTACGTCATCATGAATCATTAGGTTTACAAAAGTCTAGACACTGCTTGTGGGCAAGCACTTTTTATCAATGTCACTTTGACATCCCAGATATTCCACAGTTGTGCTGCTTGACAGCTTGATTCCAGATGGAATAAATAAAAGCTATCTGATGGGATACTGTAATGGTCCTGGACCTTTATGAGGCAAAGTCTGCTTGTTTGGACAAGTTTCAGTCCTGTAACATGGTTCACTCAGGTCCACACATGACAGAGAAGATGAATACGGCACAGGGTACACTCCACATGTGAGTCGTCACCAGGAGGGCTGGGAAATGCTCCGTGGCCATGCTTGGCGAGCACACTGACTGCAAAGAAAAGTTCAAGACGAACTGCCTACTCTTTCGCCTCAGGGTCAACATATCTTCCAGTATTACTGCTCTGAGTGGTTCTAGCCCTAACCTCAGCTCTTAAATCCAGAGAAACACTCTCAGCCACTCGAGCCCCACCCCCACTTAATCCTGTCCCAGCAGGTTCCCATATATGGATTTACAGACTTGTGTTTGCTCCCTGAATGTCACTGGACACAAATGATACATAAATCAGGGTGAAGAGAATCAAGTCGCTGAAGAGATTAACCAGAGGGCAACTGCTCTGTATCTAAACTCTTTAAAACTTTTGTAAAAAAAAGTACACTGTGCAAAGCAGAAGCCCATATCCTGCATTTCTTTCCCTCTTGACCTGTTTAGGGATTTCCGAAACAGTCACAGGTTTGTTTGCTCTTTCCTAACAGGAGGATGCTGGGCATATTTCCTCTCTCTCAGAGGAACTGGGAGCAGAGGGAAGCACCTATGACTCCCTTCCCACATTCTGTTCTGTTGCTGGCAGAAAAAAAAAAAAGGCACAGCTAGAGATAACAGCCCTCAGCTTGGGCTCCGTTTGCTCCAAGAGTCCCCCCATCCTTTGGCTGGGGACTTCCAGCTGCCAGGACACTAATGCCGAAGCTGTGTCTACAGCCTATGACATGTAACATTTTTGGGTTAACATTTGTATATATTGTCTCATTTAATTCTCATAATTCCGTGAGTTGGGTACTATTATTTACTCCCATTTTATGGGTGAAAAAATACAGAGGCACAGAGAGGTGAAGTAATTACCCAAGATCATAGACCTAAGAAGGAGTGAAGCTAGAATTCAAACCCTGGTAGTCTTACTACATATCCATAACCATTCACTAGTCAATGAGTACTGCCTCCAATGTCCTATCAGCCCCACCTTTGGGAAACTTTTGGGGGAGTGGATGAGGTCCCTGCACAATATTTCGACTGCTTGCTCCCCTAACTCACACTTTGACTGAAAGAATAAAGGGAAAGAGAAATAACCCGAGTTAGGAAGAGGACTGGCAAAGCTGCACAGTATTTTTCTCCCAAATTCTAATCAAAATGAACAAAACATAAAAATCCAACCCCAAATATTCATAATTAGCAAGCAAAGAAGGAAAAGGGCATCACTGAATGCAATACACTTAAAAAACTGACTCTTGAATAAAGAAGCAGAAAATTCTGGAGCGGAGTAGAGGAGCACGGCTGTCCACAGCTCCCCAAAGCCATAGGTGCGTCAGCACAGCAAAATGAACTCTCCAGGAACTCGCTCTGCCAAGATGGTGAGCCGGCGGCTGAACCTCAAGATGGAGGCGCTTGCCAAGAAGCTATGGCCCACGTCCAAGAGAGAGAGAGAAGCCCAGAGCAGAATTCGGTCAGCAATAAGGTTAACCAGCGATTTCAGCAGCCTCTTCCCTAAAGACCTGTGAGGTTAATTAAGAGTCAGACCCTCCTATTCAGAGTCCCCAGCCCGACCCCCAGAGTAAGTGGAAGAGTTGGAGGCACGTACAGGTGGGCTTACAGGTCCATGAAGTGAACTTGGCATAGAGGAGCGTGAAGCCCACTGCCTAATTTGGGAGATGGCGAGGCTCCTTGCTTACCTTCTTCAAACCCATCCCGGAATGAGCCTGAGCGGCTCATAGTTCTGCTCTTCTCGTCCAGGGACATGGAGCTGTTCCGGAAGCGGCTGTCCGTGTACGGGTCATACTGCCCATCGGCATTGGAGAGGCTGTGGGTCCTCAGCATGGTCGGGTTGGACAAGCTCATCTGGGTGACAGTAGTGGGACTCGCTGGAACAAAAGGAATGGAATCAGAAGGTTGGAAATTCATGTCTCTGTTCAAATCCTGGATGGGGACGAAGAGGAGACTGCTTACTATCAGCCACATCCGCCTCTGCCAACTTCCCTCCCTTGTCTATTTTCTAGTCACATCAGCATTTGAGTTACACACTGAGAGCTAAAAATAAGGGAGAAAGGTGGGTCAGTTCCAAAGCAAGGCTCTGGGCCTCAGCTTTCCAACTTGGCACGTTCAGACAAGCTAGTGTCACCTTCCAGGCATGAGCTAATTACTCCCTGGGCTCATCTGGAACAATTCTCTCTAAAGCCAAAAGCCCAAAATAGTCCAACCGGGCTTTTGATCAGATGGGAAGCATTTGTGCATGACAAGAAACTCTTGCCTCAAAGAGTTATGGCTGAGAAAGAACAATAGGAACATAGGTCTCATCGCCTCAGATGGGGAACACTGAATCATAGAGCCTAAAGAGCTTCAGTGCAAAGGGGGCGCATTGACCTCAGCGAAACCGGCTTTCTTATTAAAATCCTGTCCATTTTAATAAGGTGTAATATTTTAGAAGTATAATTTAGTTTACTGAAAATGAAACGTTAAGTTATACTTGATTACAAGCCACACCTGTCCTTAAAGACTTTGGGTTTATTATTCACAATATTCAGAAGAGGCTGCCTCTCTGAAGAACGAGATGAGACGGGAAAAGATTTCTTCCCCCTCTATCAGTCTTCCAAGACTCAATTCCTAGCCTGCCACCTTCACGTAACCGTCGCCTGTAATTCTAGCCAGGACAGATCTTTCCTTTTTCTCACTGTATACAATACTTGCTATCTGATCATATGCAGTTTTTACATGATTTCCTATAAAGCTTTGGATTGCTCTCTTTTACCCTATTTATGCATCTGGCTGGGTGTGTTCGTCTCTAAAAATGAGTCCACTGATCTGACAATTTTATATGTCAGTGATATTTCAATAAAGGTGAAATTTAATAATAATAATAATAATAATAATAATAAAACAAAAATAATCCATTGACATATCAGTAGGGACCATGTTACAAATTCTTTCTCTTTCCTCACTGTGCCGGTCAAAGCATTATTTCAGTTACGGGCATTTCCAATATGTGTCAATCAAAACTTGATTTTTATTTCTAGCTTAGTCAAGCAATGCGGATGACCAAACATGGGATATGTTGTAAAACCAACTTCTTCAGAGGTCTTAGAAACAGAATACATTCTTCCCAAGAATGGGATGGTTTGCTCTTTGCTCTAACCCTATCTATATAAACCACGGAAAGAAAATTACTGATTAGAATACCAAACCTTCTATTTTCTCTGGTTCTTTTGCTATCAATCTCCTGTAATCAAACTACATGGCTGAGGGCTGATCAGATACTGAGAGCAATGAGACCACATGTCTCTTTCAACACACAAGCTAACCTCTGCCCTACGGAGCTGGTCAACACAGCTAATGCCAAGTGGCTACTCACCAAGTTGGGAAAAGTTGAATCTTGTTCCAGAGGGAGAAGTTACACTGGAGCCAGAGGAAAAGGGGGAATTGGCAGCCGTGTCCTGCAGGCCTCCTGCAGAATGGGACCGTAACCACTCTTTTGCGTCTTCTTGTGTGCGGAGCTGGGAGGTGGGAGTATACCTGGACAGACAGACAAGCTGGGATTAGCTATGAACAACGCTTATGAAAATGAACTCCATGGAGCTGACGATGAACACATATATTCAAAGATGATGTTAAAAAAAAAATCAGATCACTACACACCTGAAACTTGTGAAGTTTCTCAAAACCTTTTTTTTTTTTGCTACTTGGCCGCCTTTGGGGAAAATTGCAATTCCTTTCAGTTTGGAGGGACTACATAAAGGGAGCAAGATTGGTGAACGCTCAAAAGAGCCGTCACTGAGTGTATCTGTAACATGTTGATTCATGACAGTGTCATGTCAAAGCCCCCACCTTGACAGCTTATCAGAAACCATGAAAAGGTAAGGTGTGAGGACACCGATGCTTACAGCGGTTGCTGCAATCTAGCATAAACAAGTCTTCATAAAAGGAACCCCAAATCATTGGGTTTCACACAGGGGAGTGTCTTCAGAAGTCATGCGGTACACCTCCTCATTTATTCTGAGACACATTTGGTGATGATAAATTGACTGTCTTCAATGAGCTAGGTGACTTCACAGACGTTATCTCGCTGAAGCTTTGGTGAGGACCTGCCTTGAGTCATGTGCCAAGATTTCTATTTATTTTGTCTGATTTCAAAATCTACACTCTTCTCATTATGCACACAGGCAGCATTTCAAATTTGTAAAGCGCCCAAGTGGCCAGAGCACCCTTGGACTTATGAACAGACTACGATGGGGTGGCCACTGATTATATACACAATGGAATTCTTTTGGCTTAAAAAAAAAAAAAAGGAGTTGCTGGTGTGTTGGTAATGGATGTGTGTATATGGAGGGAGGGAGCTAGAAAGGAAGAGTGAGAATGAGAAGGAACAAAAAAATGTGTCTTTCTTTATGTTTTTACTCTAGTTGATGGACATGTAACTTTCCAGGTCACATCAATTGCCTGAAGACAGCCTGTCACATATCCTTAGTCTGAATTTTTTTGAAAACCACTTTTTAAAAGCCAGAGCTACATCATTTTCATAGGATAGATCTGGCCCAGAAGCATATACAGCATTCTGAAATGTTTATATTTAGAGAGGTTAGCTTCCTTTTGGGGCAACAGCGGGCCATCGGTGTCAAATTCATACTAAAGGTGGCTGTCATTTAAGCATCTAGCATGGTTACTAACAACCAGCCCTCATAAGCCTGATGAAAACTGTTAGGTACCAAAGGCCTTGCCAGCTCCCCCTTCTAAGGCCACACTCCTGAACTTCCTCCCACAGGATATCTGTGGGGGATTTTTGAATACTTTTATTCTTAGATATTTAGAATTGGCTTTCCTTGGATCTCCTATTGAAAGGAAGCATTGATACCTACCTCACATTACTGTTCAAAATGCTCTCGGCCTTAAGAGCTACAGGTTATTAACTATAGACATACATGACAGCGTTGAAACATTTCATTCCAAGTTCCATTTCTTTTTTTTTTCTTTTTTTTTTTTTTGCAAAAGCATATAATGCTTAGTGCAGGGTAAAGCTGATGCTGCAAAGAAGGAGGTGTTTAGAGAGCAGGAGAAATGGCAGCTGCAACCATAAGACATTAAGACCACGGGGCAGGTGTTAGAACTGAAGTTCCTCTGATGGGCAAAGTGAAGTAGATGGTGTGAGCAATGGGACTTATAGCATCTTGTTTTACCAGGACTAGCACCAAAAATGGGCCCACGCCACGGCTTACAATGGATGAAAGGACAATTGCATCCTCATAGTCCTTTTCTTTCTTTACACCAAAAACTGATCACATTCATGTCTTACTGGGCATTGAAAAGTGACCAGATTTTCCACTGTTTAGATAAGTGTAAAGTATCTATCCTTAGCAGTTTTCTGTGGCTCAAAAGTTAAATATTTTCAAATTTGGGGATAATATTTCCTTCCTCCTTTGCCTTTGTCCTGGCTAACAAATCAACATGCTACAAGTTAGGTCCTTCGTCGTGGAGGACAGCCCGTGAACAGAATGGTGAAGTGCTCAACGATTAAACTCACTGGCCCCAGAAGCAGCAGGAACTGCTCTCTGGGCTTGCCCAGGGATGTTGTTCATGACATGGTTTTACCACATTAAGCCTGAAAAAGCACAGCCTCTGCCCAAGCAAGGAAGCCAACAAATGGAGAGATGAGAATGAGAGGGTGCAAGGGGAGGGGGTCGTCCAAGGTCCTACAGCGGTGGCCAAAGCACAGACCCCAGCCCAGCCCGAACCCTCACCAGCCAAGCCCCAAAGCCACACCAGATGGCATGGATGCAAGGAGGAAACACAGATACCTGAGTCCTTTCTTAGGCAAAGTGTTCCTATCAAGGTGCGGGTCACTGTAGGAAAGTTAAAACAAAAATGAGAACTTCAGAGAAGCACAGAAAAAGCAGGCAATGTGAGGAGGGAAAGGCTAAGAAGGGGCTGAAGAGACCTGGAGAAAGAGACTCACTTCACCAGCAGAGCTCCCTTATCCAGCGGGGCATGCAACATCCACGGGAAACCAAAGAAACCCAAACCGAGGCCTACGCTGACTCTAGTGCATGCTTCACCCCAAGTCACCAGGAGGCCTGAGCCACTCAACCCAAGCTGTTCCTCCTTCTCCACAGGGTCAAAGCAAAACTCAGGGGCTGCCCCACCTTGAAGCAGAGCCTGTGCCTTCTGCCGCCCAGTCGCCCATCTCTGCACCATCACCACCGCTTCTCGGAGAGGGAGATGCCAGCTTCTCTGCACCACTAAGTCTGGCCCACCCCCAATGCCACTGGCGATGACTTCAAGTAAGAGAAGGGACTTGTTGGAGGGTTTCAAGAGGCCTGCAGTCTGCATATTTGGAATTCATAAGTGAATTCCAGGTCTCTCTCCGTTTCTGCAGCCCTTATTGGATGTAGCTAGGCGCCGAACCCTGGGCCCGCGTCAGGGCATGTTACAACTTGCTGGCCGATAAAGTCAAGGCATTTGGATTTCCAAAAAACAAGGGTTTAAAGGCTTGGTCTGTGAGTCTGACAAAAACAAAGTTTTTGCTGTTGATGGGGTGAAGAAGGTTCTCGTTTTTGTTTTTGTTTTTTTTTCTTTTCTAGCATGAAACAACATCTGCTTGCTATGTTTGGCCAAGCCATGGCTCCCCCACAAATTTAAGGTCACTATCCATTTCTGAAGCCCACCCACAGGGCAGCTGGGGGCAAACAAGCCTCTTCATTTATAAAATCTCAACGCTCCACATAGTCTTGTTCATTATCGTTACAGGAAATGGGCACACAGAACACAGCAGCCTGCAAAACATAAGGAGCCAAACTGCAGCAGAGGACTTTGCAAAGGGAGAAGAGCCAGCTGCGTGGGGAGTGGAGGGGGCGGGAAGGCAAAGGTGAGGGCCAAGCTGCACAGTGGGTGGCAGATCATTTCTGGGCTTGGGGGGTGGTGGGAAACAGAGGGAGGAGGGAGACGGGTGGGGAGCAGGAACATGCCACAGGAAGACTGAGATGCAAGTGAGAGCTTCTGCCCAGGTTTGAGGTTCCTTCCCAAGCTGGGAAGGGAAGGGCCAGCCCAACCCCACCTCTCCCGGGGCTTCAGCGGGCAGCAGAGCAGACCCTCACTGGCATGTCTCAGGGGAGGGGTCACAGATTACACCAGAGCCACAAACAAAAGCGGAAGCCTCAGGCCAACAGCCTCACACAAAACGTCTGGCTTGACACAGATGGGCAGAGGAACCTAGAGGCTTGGTGGGGTCCCCAGCCTACACGTCATTCATTACCTGTCCTGTTTCCTGGGCAAAGTACTTCTGCAGAATTTAGGGCTAGCGGCAGGGGAAGAGAGAGGGCTAGAAGTCCAGGCAGGTAGAAAACAAGAGAAGGAACATTAGATTGGAAGAAAGGGGAGGGGGTTGTTATACATAACGATTAGGACATTTTTCTCATCCCCAATGCTGATCATGGCTTGCTTGCTTTCTGGACACATCACTACTGCAGTGAAATCCAGAGCCCCAAGGAAGCTTCTGGTTTCTTGATTTCCTATCACTGGCCGGCAGCCCTTCAGTGAAGGGTGTTTGCCAAAATGACCACTACCTCGACCCAGCTGCCTAAGGACATCCTACCACACACCCCAGGCTGCGGCCGGCAGCTACTCTGCCTGCACAGTTACAAGGGGAGGGAGAAGAAGCAATTGATGACCAAACAATAAAATGGAAGGCTTTCAAAGGTGGAATGCTATTTCAAACGGAAGCATTAAATTTGCCCCCAAGATACTTCCAGCAGCTCCAAGCCCTGAGAATAACCACGATGAAAAAGATAACAGGAAGCAGAGCTGAGTCTAATTCCATCCCAAACTGGCTTCCCCCTTGGAAAGACAGCAGTGATGAGAGAGAAATCTCCCAGGCAAAGGCGAATTAACATGTGGGGCTCCTAACGTAATCCCTTGACTCTTGGAAGGGGTCTTTCTGAGAGATACAGGCAGCCAAATGCACAGCACCAACCTTTCTGACAGTGTGGTCTTCACACTGTTAGTTCTGACAAAGGGAGTCAGGGGGTCATCCTTAGAGGAGGCGATGAGGCCCGTGGAAGAATTGTGACTCGGCCCCCCTCCACTGCTGAGGGAGATGTCAATGGATTCACAGCTGGTGTGGAGGCTGCTGACGGACTGGAAGCCCAGGCCGTCCTTGCTAACTGCCGAGGAGCTGCTGGCGTTGGTGCCCCAGGTGAGGCTGTTGGAGGGGCCCGAATGGGCTGAGCTGGGGCTGGAGGCTAGAGGAGACTGGTTGATATCCACGTTCTTACTGTAGAGAGGACTGCTGCTCCCGCTGCTCAGGACACCGCTGCCTGAGGGGGACTCTAAGTTACCTTGCTGGGTCAAGGTGGCATGAGGATTGGAGATGACCACCGAATTTTTCATGTTTTCAGCTGTGGCGATGGGTACTTGCTTGGTAGGCTTCCCACCAAAGAGTCTGTAAAGAGACAAAGGATTGTGCCGGTTGAACACCCAGAGCCAAGGGGCTCTGAGCTGTTGGAATCAGGTGGGGCACAGGTATAGGAGCGGTGCAAGTCCCCGGGGGGATACACAGTCATTCCTACTGAAATGACTCCAGGTGCTCCACTGGGATAGGCCGCCCTACAGTGGGCCTGGACACTGGAGTACCACGAGGCTCCAGCTTCCGGTTCTAGGCTGCAGCTGAGACCCTGCCTCTGTTTGAACCAAAAGGAAATGAGGAACCGTTTTTCTACAGGACTATCCATGCTGGTCCAAGATCTTGCTTCGCTTTCTTTCCACAAACAGAGTAATTAGAAACTTGCCTGGCCCAGGAAACATCTAGAGGGAAAAGAGCTATCTTTATCGTCTTTGTATCCATGACTCCAGGCACAAAACTCCAGGCTCAGTTTATGACGGTTCAACTCCAGAGCTTTGGATGCTTTGATCTCTAAGCACAATATGTAGAATCCAGAACCTGAGTCTACATCTGGGTGGGGCCTGGGAAAAAGCATCCTCACAGATTTATCTTCTCGTGAAAGACCAACCTGAAAGATGTGTCTTTGGGGGCCAGAGAACTAGCAGTACCCAACGATGTACACAGAACCTTGCTGGCTTCACAAGACAGTAGACCAGACACACGGTGAAACTGTGTTTGTGACAGATACACAGAAATGCCATTGCATGTCACCCCACACACACTCATAGCCAAACATGTGCTGTCAGAACACAGGGAACGGCACAAATGTCTCCCTGTTCAAGGCAGAGGATACCTGGTAGAATGGCAGAATTGTCTTACCATCATGGGGTGATACATGCTCTATCTAGTAAGGCAATTAATTCCATTCACTAAAACTCACGTGCAGTAGGTATCTCTGCAAAGGGATGGAACCACTGCATATTACGATAGGCAGGTTGCCTTTCCTCCAGCTACTTAGCAGTGTGAGTTTTATCTTTATCCTCTCCAAACAGTCCTTACAAGTCTCAATTACTATAAAAACAAACAACCACATACTCAATCCTTGGTGACAGATGAGAAACACTTTTTCCTGGTGACCATTAGAGAATGAAACATCCTAGCGTAAAATCCTGGCTTTAGAATGCTTACACACTTCCAGGAACGGGGATCTCACTACTTCAAGGGGTAACTCACTCCAGGTGCCAAGCACTTCCCATTGTTAGAAAGCCAAAATCTGATCCATCTTCCTCACTTTTACTCATTGTTCCGATTCCTGCTATGTGTAACTACACAGAAAAAGCCCAATCTTTTGTCTGTCAATCCTTCAGATCACTTGAGCGCGCAATCACAATTCACCTAAGATTTATCTTCTCTATACTAACGCACCACAGGAACACCTTAACGATTTAGGAAAAATGCAATTACCAGGATCTAGCTGAAAGGTGTTTGCCGTGGAGCCTAAGAAGCTGTATGCATTTTCAACTATTCCATTACACTAGCCTAAGGGTCTAGTAAAGTGCCTTTGTAGTTACTAAAAGAAATCTATAATACCACAGAGTGAATATTACACATAATACTTGCGGCAAGAAAATTTTCATTTACAAGGCAATCTGTTAAAACAACAAAGAGCAGCCCAATAGGACCTTCCCTTGAAAAATAATCATTACTAAAATTCTAATAATCAAGTCTAGACAAAGAACAGCGAACTGCTTCATTATGCCTTTCATGTGGAATGCCTCTTCTGAAGTCTCTTCAAACATTCCTATTCATCCCCAAATATGTACATGTGCACATAATTTTTATTTTTTCAACTGCTTGCTTTTCAATCCTCGGGACTCACACCTTCCTATGACAAGAAATTCCCTGGGAAGGTAGGCTGAGCTAGGTCCTATGCTTATGTAGTGTGAGGATGGTCCAACGGACATTGTGAGATAATGTGAACAGGCAATAGCTGTGTACATTAAAAGAAACGTTTAGGGCCGGCCGAGTGGCGCGTTGGTTAAGAGCTGGCTTGGGACGCTAGAGGACCCTGGTTCGGATCGCACATATGAGGGCCAGTGGCACTGCCTTCTACAGCTAAGATGCTGAACAACAGCTCAACCTGGAGCTGGGCTGCCATGGGTCGCCGGCAATGGCGTGGGCTGCAGCCCCTGCTGCAGTGGGTTGCCATGGGCTACCGTGTGTAGCCAGCAGCCAGCGTGAGCGGCCGTCCAAAAGCCGGCAACTGATCTGCCTCGCCTGGGAAAGGCGCAATGATGGTGCAAACTTGGGCCAGTGAAGCAACATCCTCCACAACGAGACTGAAGAACAAAACAACAGCAACTTGTCTGTTCTCCTTCCCCCGATTTCCCAATAAAATCTTAAATAAATAAATAAATAAATAAATAAATAAATAAATAAATAAATAAATAAACTGTTTAAAACTGTTGGAAAAACAGTGATTAATAATATTATCATGCAAAAACTTCCAGTGTGGAAATGTGGGAAAAGGCAATAGGAAATCAATTTTTCTTTTTCAGAAACACTTTTGCTTTAAGAGTTTTTTTTTGTTTGTTTGTTTGTTTTTGTTTTTTTTAAGATTTTTATTGGGGAATTAGGGGGATAGGAACAGTGCTGGGGAATTGGGGTAAGGGGAACAGACAAGTTGCTGTCGTTTTGTTCTTCAATCTAGTTGTGGAGGATGTCGCTTCACTGGCCCAAGTTGGCACCATCATCGCGCTCTTCTCTGGCGAGGCAGATCAGTCGCCGGCTTCTGGACGACCGCTCACTGCGGCTGCTGGCCGCTCACTGCGGCTGCTGGCCGCTCACGCTGGCTGCTGGCTACACACGGTAGCCCATGGCAACCCACTGCCACAGGTGCTGCAGCCCACGCCGTCGCCGGCGACTCCCGGCAGCCCAGCTCCAGGTTGAGCTGTTGTTCAGCATCTTAGCTGTGGAGGGCAGTGTCACCGGCCCTCATATGTGGGATCCGAACTGGGGCCCTCTGGCATCCCAAGCGAGTTCTTAACCGTCGCGCCACTCGGCCGGCCCCCAAGAGTTTTTTTTTTAAGGAAGCTAAAATTTCAGAGACTAATTTGGAATTATGCATGCAGTTATAAAAAAGTATGCGGGGAACATTGGACTACTTGAGGAAAGGATCTGGCCAAGATCACTGTCTAGCATAATGATGAGGAATCTCAGCCACAAAATTAACAAGATAAGAAAAAAAAAACTATGTGCTTCCACTGAGCGACCCATCCGGACCTAAGATCTCATCTTGTATGGAAGCTAAATTTGGTGGAGTACTTACTATGGGCCAGATATGGCTACACAGATTAATCTTCACAAGAACTCTCAGGTAGGTATCAGCATCCCCATTTTACAGATGAGGAAACTGAGGCAGAACTGTTAAGAAAGGCTACATGGTGACTAATTAAGGTAGACCCAAAATTGAACCCAGGGTGATTGATTCCAGAGGCTTATGATCTTTATCCCAATATGGGAAAATAGTTGACTGCAAAATTGCTGGCAGCATCTGACCAAACAGCTCTACCCTAGGATGGAAGTGAAGGAAAACAGAGGTTTTTTAAAACTAAGAAACAGGAAATTAATCCGGGACACCATTCCCCATATTCTGGTTTTGCTCAGTGCCATTGACACACTTACCTGCGGAGTGTGGGAGAGGCCACATCAGGGTACTTGGCCCCTGGCTGGAGAGTGGCCTGAGCCGCACTGGACATGGGCTGGGCTGCCGGGTTCACCTTCACAGAGTTACAGGAGGCTACGCTCTCATTGTCCGACGAGATGCCTTTCTCCTTATCCGTCTGGTTGACCAGACCTGGCAGAGAGCTGCCTAGGGCCGTTTTGGAAGGCTCCCTCAGCTTGGGCACTGGCAGGCCTGCTGACTTGCTGCTGATGTTGGAATCTATGCTGCTTGTACTAGACCTGTTCCCAGCCCCATTCCGACTGGTGGACTTACTGGGCCGTGGCAAACTCCGGTACTGCAAGTTTGTCCGGGAGCTGAGAGACAGATACCCATCATCCTGATTCTGAGCCCCATCCATGCTCGTCTTCCGACCAGTAGACCGGCCGACAAGGGCAGATGATTTGGGGATTTTGCCCAGTGTAGCTGACCTGCTGGTGACGGTGGCCCCGCTGGCTGTGATCATGGCCAGACCGGCGGCCGAGCCACTCTGCTTCTTGAACCCAAAGCTGTTGGCATTGGCAGTGGACGTCCTGGAGCTGCTGGGGAGGGGCTTTTTGGATTCGTCACCGCTGCTGCGGCCTGCATCTGATGGGGAGCGCTTCACCTGGGAGGCTTTGGGAGACAGCCTGCCTTTCTCAGACACCTTTGCATCATCGGTTTTTCCTGAGGGAGAAATCAGCAAGGTTAGCCTGCAAACCAAGAAGCCAGCTCATCCAGCTCAGTCTGTTTAAAATTCTCCCCTCCTGCAAAGACCTGGTTCCCTTTCTCCTTGGGGAGAGTTGTACCCTTGGGAAGCAGAGGAAAGAGTTTTTTATAAAGATAATCTATCTACCACTGTCACTGTGAGCCTTTTAGGAGACCTCAATGATTTTTAATCATTTGCAAAGCAGTCTAAATTCACCCAGAATAAAGCAAAGCCAGCCAATTGCTGGTGTCTGGGGAAGAGATCCTGCCTTTCACTGATGTTTCTCCCTCTGTCCAGCAAAAAGCCATCCCTAACATTTTCAGGAGACACCCCTGCCTTCCTGCAAAAACACTGCCCCTGTTTACACACATCCTTAAATCAAGGAAAACATCAGCTCAACATACCAACAGCTCGTGAAAACATGCCCTTGAATAGCCTGCACTGGGCGTGTTAGCTCTCACCCAGCACATGGTCACATCAATTCAACATGCCTCAGCAGTGGAATCGTCTTCAGAGTTTAAAGGCTCTCATTCCACTTGGAAAAAGGTAGGGATGTGAACCTTGCTGAGAGCTGGTTATTAGCAGAGTCTACACCCTAAGAAGAAATACCCAAGCATTTATGGGGACTTGGAAACAATGTCAAGTCGTTGCTAGAATGCCTGCAGTTTTAGTTTTCAAACTGATAGTGGTGGATCTGAGACAGCGTGTGCCTCTTACTTACCAGTTCCTGGGGTCTTGAGCGTGCCCACCGGGGCAGCCGGCTTCGTCCTTGGCATGGTGATGCCCACCTGAGCTGTCATGCCTCGCCGCCACGAGCCTGTCTGGGAGATGACCGGGTTCTTCTTGCCCGATGTGCTCTTGTCGGACTCGTCAGACACGTCCGAGGGATTCCGCCTCCACTTAGACCCTGGCTCCATCTTTATGCCGCTGTCTGACCCGCCGTCGGACTTCTTGACATCATCACCAGACCACAGGGAATTCCTCTCCACCTGCGAGTGCTTCTCTGCGTCGGTCTGTGGATGACACTGAATTAGTCCCTCCCAGGTTAGAGAGCCTCTGACCCCAGAGCCAAAATGCCAATACACTGGATGGATTGAGGGACAAATAACAACTAACTACTTTAAAATGTTCGGGTCTTGGGCCGGCCGAGTGGCTCAGTTGGTTAAGAGCTCGCTCAAGAGTTTGAGCTCTGAGCAACAGCGGTTCGAGTTCAGCCCGAGCTGAGCAGCCGCTGAGCTGCCGTCTTTGGACTCTGGTTATCTTGTTAGAAAGCCTTGTTTTTTGGGTCCAAGGAAAGTAAAGAATATAAATAAGTCCTAGAAGGGAGTGAGCATGGAGAGTAAAAGGGATCAGAAGAAAAAGAAGGAAAGACCCCTGTGGAGAACCATGAGCAGAGAGAGGAGGAGATATGGCGAGAATTCAGCCACCAACTCTCCACCACTTGGCGACAATCCTCCTCTGACTCGGGCGGCCTGATCTCTATCCAGCATCCAGCATCCAGCCTCTTGGCCCGTTTCCCTTTGTTCTGCAGTCTTCCTATCACTCCACTGGCAGCGAGATCTTTGGATCTAGCACAGCGCCACAGTCTCACACACCGAGTGAGCGAGCAAGCGAGGGCGGCTGTTAGTTCCACTTGAATCAGGGAGAGAGAGGGGCTGAGGGGAAACACATCCTCAAAAGCCACTTCCTCCCAATGCTAAAAACCAGCGGGTGCCTGCTCCCATCCCAGCTCCATTTATCCGCCACTGCTTTGCTCCTCTGGTGGGGTTTTGTTCAGACACGGGCTATAATTAGCCAGCTTTCTTTGGAAGAGCCCTGACCTGCTGGCCATGGAACCCAGGAGGGGACACAAGTGTGATGTTAATGACTTGCTGCAGTGGAAAAGGCAGAAAGCTAAGCAGAATGCCCTGGGGGCCTCCCTAAGGGGTGGGGCCAGTCCAAGGAGATGTCAGTCAGGAAAAGCAGAGCAGAGAATGGGGAAGGGGCATCAGCAACACTTTAGGGAGATACAAGTCCCACACCTCCTATACTTAACTACCTAGAGTGGGCATCAACAGCAAGGTAGGAAACCAAAGTGATCAGGTGGCCAGAATCTGGCCTAATGCCTTTCGCCCAAGAGTAGTACAAGTGCCTTCCCCCTGGAATACACTGGCTGAATGGGACAAAAGTTAAATACAGACGACCAAGTTCAATCGCCTATCTATCACCACCAAGGCCTCCTTCTCTCATCCTCAACCCTTGCACCCCTTACGAATTTCACTCATCCACTATAGCTACCTTACAAGTTCTTTCATTTGTTTGGTCATCCCTCAAACACATGCCGAGTTTGCGATAGGTCCTAGGCCCCAGAGATGTGAGGAAGACAAAAACACTCCCACATCTGAGTACAGGGCAGAGGCTCAATCAAGGCTTGGTGAGTAAACGAGTGAACAAATGAACACATGCTTCTCAATCTACAGCACACTTGAACAAAATGATCTCATTGGTCCTGGCCGCCATCTGGTCAAATAAGGTGAGTAGGTAAGCAGTTTTGTCTTCATCTCAGTTTTACAGATGGGCGGAAACAAAAGTTATTCACTCCTGGTCCCAAATAATTCATAGCCCATGGTCCTTCCTCTAAACACCTCCAGTACATTCATTCAACCAGAATTTTCTCAGTGCCCGCTGTTTGCCAGGCACCACGGAGTAGCTGAGGATCTGTGGGTAACATTGTTCCTACCCCTCCTGGAGTACATGACCCAGTGAAAGAGGCAGAGATTGAATAAATAAATACAAAAACATGAGTAATTGTGAATTATGAAAAATGTTATAAGGAAAAAGACAAGGAATCTGTGAGATAAATACATGCACTGACATAATTTAGATGATGGGGGTAGGGGGCCATGGTCAGGTGAGGCCTTTCTGAAGTGGTGCCCTAAAGAATGAGAACAAACTTACTAAGGGAAGAGTTTGGGGAAGAGCATGCCAGGCAGTAGGAAGAGCACATGCAAAGGTCCTGAGGCAGGAAAGAGCTTGGCTTTGGGAGCATTCACCCAACAAATATTTAATGACTGGGTGGCACTATCTGCCAGGTAAGCTTTTGGGCACTGGAAAGACTACAATGAATAAGAGCAAGTACACATCCGGAGCTGATGTTCAAGTACATTCTAATACTTTCTAATATACTCCAAGAGGCACTGAAAACTTAGCATGCACCACATCCTGGGTTACTGCATTAGTTCTTTTAATATCCCTATACTTTATTTCCCCCAATCAAATTGTTGTGGTACTAACAGCAGTAGCAGTTAGCAACTAAAATTTATTAAGCACTTACCATGTGCTAGGCACTGGGCTAAAGTGCTTTGCATGTATCATTTCATGTAATCCTCACCCAAACTCTCTGAGGAAGTTACAGTTCATAGTCTCAATTTTACATGAGAAAAGTGAGGCACAGAATGGAAAAGAGCACAGTCCAAGATCACACTGTGAGACAGTGGCGATGAAGGATTCCAGGGAGTCTAAGTGCAGAGCCCACATTTTTAACCACTTTATGCCACATTGCCTTCCTAGGGGACAAGTCTAGAACATGAGACGTTTCTGTATGCCCAGCATCACCTAACACAATCCCTACACACAGTGAATTCTCCTTTCATACTGTGGATGGTTATTCCCCAACTCCAACCCTGGAACAGCTCTAGCCTGGCCTCTGGGTGGGGGAACCTCCACCCCCACTCTGATTCTTCCAATGGACAGGAGAGTGTACATGGCCCTGGCCCAGGACTATGGCTTGAATCTCCCCTCTGGAAAAAATAATCACCCCACCATCACATCCCCACCGCTTGGTCCAGGGCGGCAGCCTTCCCAGTGCTACTCTGCAGAGCAGGCATCTGCCCTGGGACACGACTGGCTTTGAGTTCACAACTCCTTAAAAACCCTTTCTGAGCCATGTGCCAGATCAGGCGGTCGCACCACCAGAATCCAAAGATGAAAAAGTCACAGGCTCTCTGTTCATAGAGTTTACAACAGGAGGTCAGCAGGACGGCCACATGGGGATGTACGAAGAGCTGTACCCTCCCCCTTTGTTCTCAATTTGTCAGCCATTCTCATCTCAAATGGCACCTAGTTTTGGAAAGGCTTTCCTATTGCTCCTACCTGGAAGTCCACTTACTCATTCAACATCCAAGATGGAAGGTGGGGAACTAGCCATACAGGATGGGGAAGAGGGCCTGGCAGACTGGAGAGTTCACCAATGAAGGCCTGGCTTCCTCAGGGGCCATATTGGGGAGGTGAGTCCTGAGAGTGAGACGGTGGGACCCAGGTCGGGCCTGAGCGATGCGGTGGGGACCACGTGGCATGAGGTGGGGGAAGAACCGGGGCTTGGATTCTAACTTCGAGTTCAAGTACTGGGTGCTGACACGCCTTTGCTGTGTGTGACCCTGGAGGAGGTTGTGTAACTTCTCTAAGATCATGACCTTGTGTACAAAACGGGGGTGATAATACTGGGTTGTTGGAAAAGTCATGACACATTTTTGCAATGAAAAAATACGTCATGACTTTTCCGACAAGCCAATAGATGGGTATCTTAGAGTCAGTTGATAGTAGGCTCAATGAGCTCAATGTGGAGGGACTCCATAAACAGTAGCCCTTTTGTCACCAACTCTCCCTGCCCGCCTCTGAAAATCACCAGCACTCTAGCATGTATCCCATTTTTGTCTCGCATTAATGGGAACAGCATACTTGTCTTTCCTGCTATTGGGCCACAAGCCTCTAGAAGTTAAGGACACTCCTCTTCATGCTCATATCCCCTGCAGATCAAGATGCTGAACTGGCTGAAGTCTGAGCCCCACTCATAGCGGAAATAATTAGCAGCATCAGTATCATCATCTGCGCCTTTTCTTGCCGGGCACTATGTCCCTATCCAGACATTACTAGCTCGCTTAATCCGCCGAGCCTGTGTGACCCCTAGTTTACAGACCAGGAAAATACAGGAGGAAAGAGGAAAAGTAACTTGTCAAAAGTCACAAGCAGCAGCACCCAAGCAGATGGGCAGAAAGGGCACTCATCCTGGCACCCCAGCCAAACCCTATCCTACATCCAGACCAACACTCAGAGAATACGCAGAGAGCGCCAGGCTCGCTCAGGGCCACACAGGACAGGAATCCTTGCCCCAGAATTCAGGATTTAATTTCCTTGAGTAGCAAAAAATAAACTCACATGGAATTATGTTTTATTTAAAAATTCACAGGCTGTGAAAATGAGAGGAATCTTGATGTGTGTCTTTTAGCATCTTGGCACCTGGAATGGAACCGTCCATAGAACTGAGAGGAAATATTAAATGACCAAGGGCATGAGTGGATAGGTGAGTATGTGGGAGGGAGATGTGTGTTTGTTAAAGTCCTTGGCCACCAATACCTTCCCCTAAAAATAAAATGCTGAAAAGTGTAAGATGAACTGCTCTGAAACTACAAACAAAATACATTAAGAACACAGTCAATTTTTAGTTCCTGACATGAATGGAGGAGGGAGACAGAGGAACGAGTATTCCAGAGGAAATTAAGGAAGGAGGTGGGGCTGGTGGAGTGGCTCAGTTGGTTAAGAGTTGGCTTAAGAGCGCGAGCTCTGAGCAACAGGGCCACCGGTTTGATTCCCACATGGGCCAGTGATGCTGTGCCCGAGCTGAGCTGTTGCTGAGCTGCCAACAGGTGGCAGGATGGCTCAGCTGGCGTAACAACAAGGTTACTTGTTCGATGGTGGGCTACGCCCACCCGCAACTTAGACTGAACTTGGCACCTTGAGCTGAGCTGCCACCCGGATGGCTCAGTGGATAGAGCACGTGCTCTTAACGGCAAGGCTGCTGGTTCGACTCCCTCATGGGATGGTGGCTACGCCCACCCGCAACTAAGATTGTAACACAGCACCTTGAGCTTAGAGGCCACGAGCTGCAGACGGGCAGCCAGATGGTGACTGGCACCCTCTACAACGAAGACTGAAGAACAACAACTTGGCTGGTCCCCTCCCCCAGTTCCCCAATAAAATCTTTAAAAGAAAAAAAGAAAAAAAGAAAGGAGGTAACGTCTGAGCAAACTACCAATAATCAGGCAGCGAGAGAGCATGTTCAGATAAAGTATTTCCATGTCACTGTCACACTCACCCTTCAAGACAGGTCTAATTACAGTAATTTTATGGACGAGGAGTCAGAGGCCTGGAGAGGTGGATTAACTTATCCAAGGATGTCAAAGTGAGGAGTTCAACCCTGACTTCAAAGTCCACACCTTCTACCTGACACAGCAGCCTGGTCTGGCTGCCCAATGGGGGCTCCCCAGCTCCCCTGGAGAAAGGCGGTCAAAAAGCTGTCCCATCTCAAGCAGGAGGATTTCTCTTCCCAGCATGCTGAGGAGCACTGAGCGCAGATACCCAGTGCTGGCTATCTGGGCACGTGTGCCCCACAGAGGGCAGCCTCAGTGCCCCTGGGTGTCCCTGAGGAACACAGTCACTTACACACTGGTGGGACTTCTTCTCCCAAGGACTGCTCCTTCGTGATGTGCCTCCCCCTCCTCCCGTCAGTGAAACGAGGCTGTTCCTTAGGCTTTCCGGACCATAACTCCCCTGTTCCTTAGACGTCCTTCCTTTTAGCTGTTTCTCGGAGGCCTTTCCAACAGGAAAACCTAGGCAGGTCACCTGTCCTCAACCTGTTTCCGGTGACCTGCTGAGCCACTTCTTCCTGCCTCTCCACGCCTTGCCTGGGGCACTGTGTGCTGCCTGCCCGTTGGTCCAGGAGAAACCAGCATGTGACGAAACCTGAATGAGCCCCGGGGAAGAACGGCTGGCGGCACATCGTTCCACTGCCTGATGCTGCTCAGAGAGGAGTAATGGCCCTTAGCACTCCTCCGAGTGATATAGGGAGGGAGGGGGCTGTGATTTACACGGATTCAAATATTTGGAGATGCTCCCTGGACAGGCACAAAGGGACACCACGAAAAAACCCGGTTAAAGAAACCATCTCAGTAGGGATCTCAGTAACTACGGGTGCAAATCTGCATTTATTCTATTCCAAGACCTACTCGCTTGGCTCTTATTTAAATGTTTTAAACTCAGGTTGCTTTACAGCAAAAACAACCCAATGAATATTAAACCCTTTCAGTCCCTTGAAACTACTGTTCTGATCTTGATGAAAATGCATGTTTGTGTAGTATTCTCAAACCTTTTCTGATGTGATATTTGCTAGACGAAAGCAAAGAGCTGGTCAAAGGGGTGGGGGGTGGGGGGTGCATTAGCCAAATTCAAATGTATCAGAGAAGAAATCATTTGTAAATCCTTTGCCGCGTTAACTCGGTATCAACACTGAAAATAGATTCTAAATAGCTTTGTGGGGAGGGAACAAAGACAACGAGATTCTTCCCACACAGCGTTTTTTTGGCTCCGTGTGCATCTTAGGAGCAACTCTGTTCCTTCCTGACAAGTAAACAGAAGCAACCCATTGACTTGCTGATTTCTTGGTCTCTCTCCTCTCTCCCGCCTTCACTCCCTCTCTGCCTCCATCCTTCTCCCACCTCTGCAGTGACTCACATAACCTGCCTGTCCCCTGAATAAAAAGACCTGGTGATCAATGCCTTGGTTCCCCCACTTTAGCACCTAAAGACATCTGGAAGCCTGGTTGTTATTTATGTTATAAAATTAGAATGAATCTAAAAAAGAATAGTGTCCACAGGGAAGGAAAATGGTGGACGTTGCGACATTTGGCAAATGGTAGGTGGTAGGAACATAGGCTGCCCAGGTGTTTCTAACTGGTGTCTAATTACTGATTAAACAGTGATCACTCGGGGGCAGAGGGCCTTAGGTTTTTTGTCTTTTTTTCAATACACTTTTTTATTCAGGTATAACATTCATAAGCTGAAATACACAATCATTAGATTATAGCTTAAATAAATTTTATAAATTTAACACACTTACATAACTACCACTCAGATCAAGATACAGAACATTATCAGTACCCCAAAAACCTCTGTGCCCCTTTCATTTGTGTATTTTTTTTTAATCTTCACCACCACCACAACCCATCCTTACTCCCCAATAACAATTAGATTTTCTAGCTAAAATGCAAACTCAAGAAGTCACAGGCAATCCCAGAGGCAACGCCTAACATATTGTATCAGACAGTTAATGCTTACATTTCTGTGGGACAGAATTACTCCCACACTGACACATCCTTTCTTTAGCCCTGTCCTCAAAGAAAAGATACCTTTGAAAGCAAAGAGATTTCTAAAGCAGCTCCTATCGGTACAGAGTGGGAGTCAGCTGAGAAAGGAATAGACATGGAGGCAAGGGAGTGAAAGCAGGGGGCAGTGTCAGTTTGGCCCTCCCAAGGTACCTCTGGGAGGCTTTGTCGGGATCACACCTGAGCATGGTTCACCTGAGGCAGTGGCCCCCGTAGGTGGGAGGAACCCATCATGAAAAAGATAACGGCCCACATATGCCAGTGCCATGACTGGCCAGTCCTTGTGCTGGTCAGACCCAACTTGGGGACTAGTTGTGAGGATGGCACCTCAGTATTTTCCACCAGTACAATGGGCTTACCAGAACCAACCCCTCCCTCTGACCACTAAGGATGCTGTGAGGGCAGGTGAGGGGGTCGTCACGAAACTGCCGTGAAAGTAAATATAAGGTAACACTACATTCAAAACATAAAATCTGAGAGTTTAAAGTAGGGATTGAAAACTCAAGTGCCTCAGGGCATGGGTGCCCTGGCCGAAGAGGGCAGACACTTGGACATCTGTTGATTGTTGCCACGTGGAGACTGTAGGTTCAAGGACGCAATATCTTCTGACTTTTTCTACAGAAACTAGTTCATTTTCATGTAAAATAGCACAATTCATACAATTTGACATGGAGTCCAGTTTATAAAAAAAGTAATACCGTGGGCCCCATAAAAGACATGTGACCTACAGATTGACAGTTCGCAACCTCTGTCGGGCTGGACTGGTCTTCCCATCCAGGGCTCTCAATCTTTGTTCCCAGCCCATCACTCCTGAGGGATCAGACACATGTCTGCGGACAGCAGTGGGTCACAGCAGCTAAGAGGGGACACACACTGCAGGCTAAGGAAGGCCAATTGAGTCCAACATCCTATTGTTTTGTTTTCTTTTAACATTATGAAACCGAGGTCTGGGGGGGACACATGATTTTACCAGGGCCACCACAGTGACAGTGGTGAGGCCTCCCCACTCCCAATTCCAGCACCCTGCTGCCTGACCTCCTTGCCCTGCAGTAGACGTCACAGTTGGTGCACAAGAGCACAGGCAGCAAGCAGGAAGTTGGGCCTCATCTCACGGACCTGGGGACTCCGCTGATGCTAAACAGCCCCCTTGGCCCACAAGCCCAAGGCTCTCTGCTGGGAGGGCCTTTGGAGGAACCTGGGAAGGACCCTGTTCCTTACCTGGACATCCAGGTTTTTGCGAGAGGAGGCAGGTGTGTTGGCATAGGAGCTGATGGAGGAGCTGGTATTGATGTCATCAGTGCTGAGGTTGTCTATGGTGTCACTGATCCCGCTGCTGACGGAGCTGCTGTCATCCCAGCTGCCAAGACAAACACATCCTGAGCACCAGAGCCTCACGCTGTGCCAGACAAATACATACCAACCCCAGGGGCTCCCTGTGTCACAAAGTCCCAGACAAAACTCTTGTGCCTCTGATGCGACTCATCTGCACGGGTGCCATCCATCCTTGCTGTTTTGGACTGACAGCTGGGTTAAGTGGCTGATACGTACCTTCCCCAAAAGGTTAGGGGCTTCTCTAAGCAGACGTAACTAAGGACACGACCCACTTCCTTCCTACCCCATCCTCAACTTCACCTTGGGAAATTTATCAAGTCAATGGCTACTTCCCAGGAGGCCTAGCGGCAGAGTGGGAACAGGGGGTTTGGAGACTAGAGCTGAAAGCGGTGCAGATAGAGTCAGCAGCACCACCCTCCCTGGGGTCAGAGTGAGAAGAATTCTCACTGCTGCATGAATTCACTGGACTCCACCCCTGAAAGGAAGTGCCAAGGGAAGGAAAGCCACAAACGTCAGCAGAAACCTGTGGACTCTATTGGTGGCTCTCACTCTAATATCCCAGGATACATCTAACGTAGAATGCTTTGTTTCCCAACTCTCCCAGCCACTGCGACCCTCCCACCGCCCCTGCTGCTCAAGTCAAGTCTCCAGACAATGATTCTCCTGTTTCCTCTGCACCAGCTCCCGCCTCCCAACACCACCAAGACATTTATTTCATGCACCGCCCGGTCCGGCCATCTCTACTTGCAAAATGCATCCCGATGTGCACAGCTCTCCTGCCACCCCACAGTTCAAGCACTATCTATCAACGCTGCTCAGGTTATGGCCAATAGGCCAGGTAGCCTCCAGGGTCCACTTCTGCTCCCTAACTATCCCTTCTCCCCACAGCAGCCATATCTGAAACATAAATCAGATTCTGCTGCTCCACTGCTAATATCCTCCAGGGGCTTCTTGGGTACTGAAAACCCACATCCTCACTCTGGCGCTCAAGACCCTCTGATCGCCCCCCCTCCCCACCCCTTCAGTCCTGTCTCTCACCTGCCTCTCTATGTTCACTGGCTCTGGTTACACGGGCTTCTGTTCCTTCTAAGCCAACATGCTTCTTGTGTTTGGGTTTTTCCATCTGTGGTCTCCCTCTTCCTGGATACTCGTCCCTGCCTCCTTCTCATCTGAAGTGTCACCTCCTCAGAAAGACCTTCCCTGGTCCCTCTACATACAATGTCCCCACCCTACCCCACTACCCATCAAGCCTGTAGCATTTTCTTTTTTGTTTGGTTGCAGGGCAGCAGGTACAAAGCAGGTCCTCTATAAATAGTTTTGAGGGGCGGCCGGTTAGCTCAGTTGGTTAGAGCGCACTGCTCATAACACCAAGGTTGCCGGTTTGAACCTCACATGGGCCACTGAGCTGCACCCTCCACAACTAGACTGAAATAGCTACTTGACTTGGAGCTGATGGGTCCTGGAAAAACACACTGTTCCCCAATAAAAATAAATAAACACATAAATAAATAAATAAATAGTTTTGATTTAAACTCATGGAGCTATAAAGTAAGCTTCTAACACTGCTCTACTTCATCCAGTGGAAATAGGTAAGTACCACTGTGTAGGTAGGGAAACAGAGGCTTAGAAAGGCCAGGCTGCTAGTAAAGGTGTAGCAGAGCCTGAATCCATTCATTCTGACTCAGAGTCACCCTCTTTGCTGTGACACAGATGGCATTCCATTATGCTAATTTTCAGTCCACATGGGAACCTGAACCAGTCCACTCCTCGGGAGGAAGCCAAGGCTTGGGAGGCCAGGTGCCATGTTCAATGTCACACAACAGAAGTGGCAAGGCCCGTCTCTATACCTGGGGCTGTCTGATTAACAAGGTACTGACCTAACCACATTCCCCCACCCCGCAGCCCTCCACGTGACTCCTCCTGAAAGGCCTGCAAAGCAGCAGCCTGATGCTTCAGAAATGCTGGTGGCTCAGCACTCCACCCCCACCCTCACCCCCAGGAACTCAAAAGAAGTTCTAGTTTGTTCCACCAGCTAACAAACCTAGCAGGTGACAAATGCTTAGTGAAAACCCTTCAGCACAGCATTCCTGTTTGGCTTCCAAAAGCCCACCTGGAGGGTCTCATAGAAATGCAGGGAAAATGTGTGATGGTGGTTCAAAGGTGGAGCAGAGAGGCAGGACGCCTGGGGCTCAGAAGAAGGTTTACTGTGGATGAAGCCACAGGGTCCAGAGGGTGAGCAAACTTCACTCATGTGATTCCACTGCTTTGGCCGGGTCTCCCATCTGGTTCGAAATCCTCTATGAGGCCTTTGACAAAACCTCGAGCACACCCTCACCATCCCTTACTCTGAATTCCCACACTGTCTCACACAGTTCGATTATTTTCTATACACCCATATAATTTTCTAGTTATTCCCTATAGAAAGGTTTTCCCTACCTTCCAAATATATGCAGGGACCTGCCTGGTGATAGCAACTATGTAAGTGCATCTCCTATGTCAGGCACCATGCCAGGTACTTTCAATACATTGTAGTACAGCTCTCCAGTCCTCATATCACACCTGCACAGTACCTATCATCCTCCTCATTTTACAGATGCAGAAAGCAAGGCGGAATGAACAAGTATCCTGATCAGTGTTTTTCAGTCAATGTTGGAATGAGGTCTCAAATGCAGACTTGTCTAATTTCAGAACATGTGCTCCTTTTAGCCTGTACCATGTTGCCTTTCACAACAATGGCCATTCGCTGAAAACTTGCCACCTGCCAATGACTCAACATTTGCACACATTCTCACCAACTCTCCTATACACTTATAGGTGGCCTTGCTCCATAAGAGGACACGGGGGCTGTGAAGGTCATCATGCAAGGCCACTCTGCAAACGCATGGCAAAGCTGGGAGTGAAATGCTACTGGACCCCAAACAAAGCCCACCTGTCCCACTCCCACCACCTGTAGATGGCGCTGCAGCGGTGTCAACCTCAGTTTGTGGGCCACCTCTCCTCCATCTCCAGGCACACAGTAGGTGCTTACTAAACACCTCCTGACTGAACTCCCGTGCAGAAGAGATGGGGCAAATTCTGATGCAATCTCATCACCGGCAGCAGATTTGCAGCCCAGCCCCCTAGCCACTTCATTCTTTAACAAGTCAAAACTTCTGTGCCTCAGTTTCCTTACGGGTGACACACGAACGATGTCATCCAGGATGGCAACTACATAAGGTTCTGCTAGGGAAAGCATGACAGAATGAATGGAAAAAGATTCAAAACTGCTCTCACGATGAAAAGAAAATCCCTTGAATCTTTAATTGCATCTGCTCTCTGGAGTTAGGAATTAAATGTAGCTAAAATTTCCTATAATCCGATGAAGAAGGAAGAGGACTGATGGGAGAGGAGTGTGGCTGGAGGGGAGGAAGGGGCGAAGTCAGTAACAGATGCCCATGAATCCTGGCCCCAGATTTTTTGCTTTGAAATTGTATCTGCTCTTCCCCTGTGGCCTTTCAACACCAGGATATTATTCCAGTGGGGCACGGGGCACTTATCGCACACATGACTCTTCCCCAAACGGTGCCCAGAGCATCATGAGGCTTATCCTGAGTTTACAGGAAATCCTTGTAACTGAGCCGGTCCAGAAGGGGAGAAGCCAGTGATCTACCCCCATGGCAGAGTGGGAGTGGGGGAAACTAGTGATGAGGATTAAGGGACAGTGACACTAAGGAAAACCCATGCTGAGCACGAGAGCGGCCTGCGTGCCAGACACCAAAGCTTCCCCGGCACTCAGAAAACCAGTCATGTCTCCTTCACTTCTGGATCTCTTGGGACGCCGGCAAGTCTATCCAGATATAAAATCACTCACTTCCAACTTGTTTTTTCCCCCCAAGTTCATGGTATAAATGGTCGTGAGCCACCGTGATTAGGCCAGTGAGTCATCCTGGGAACGATGTATTTTAAGGAAAACCAGTTCCATGAGATGCTCTGTGATAACAATGCTGCCCCAACAAAGGAATGTGGGGTACGCTGGCTCTTCCATGTCTCTCTTAGAGATCCACATTGTACATGTCCATCTTAACGACTGTGAAGTCCTGGAATGGTCTCTTTAACTTCGCCTAAAATAGCACTCCCCAAACTTACACGACCACACAGGAGATGCTGAGAAGAATGAAAGCACAGCTCTGGAAGGCATACAACTGAAGCCTCGAGTTGCCAGTAGTCACTTTATCCTCAGCTGCCCGAGAAGGCAACTAGCACACAGGGAAGCAGAGGCCTGACATCACATCAGCTCCTGTATCCAGCTGTACCTACACCCAGAGCACCCCTGGGAGACCAAACTGTGAGGTCTAAAGCATTCCTTTCTTTTGCTCAAAACTAGTTTGCTTAGGTTTTTGTCACTTGGTATACTAACTAGTAGGGAATTGCAATTTGTTTGTAAAATGACTCCACTTATGTGGTAAGAGTCAGGCAGGAAAAATGTGGAAAGCATGCAGAATTCATTCAGGCAGCAAGGACATTAGTTGAATCCAATCAAGTGGCCAAAGGAAATTAGGTACAACCTGGGATGATGGGGACAAAAGTCCATTGACCCAAGTCAGGTGATAAATGCTGAAAGAAGTTACAAAAACTATGATTGAAACTTGAAAGAGACCCAGAGGATCTGTGTTTGCTGTGTGGTGATATGAGATTCCAGCTCAGAAGCTGAAGGGACCAATGACATAGCAAAAATAATTAGAGTACTGAGCTGTGGCTCTGGAACAATCATTCGGGGATTTGAGATGACCATGCCTGCATATCATGGCTTTGAACCTGACAGAAAAACTATATGATGCTCCTAGGTCCACCTGAGATGATAAACCCACTATCTTTAGTTGAGAGTAAGTTACTTTAAACCCAGAAAAAGGTTTAAAAAGATGAAGAGAGACAATGAAGCAAATCATAATATTAATACTTAACTTTAGGATGAAAGCTTTCTGATAACTGGGATAATCTCTGTGTATTTATAGTATTTAAAAGAATATATGGCATATTAGAGAATTT